GTAGAGGCCCCAGCACAGAACCTTGTGGGACACCATGGGTAAGAGAGGTGGTGGAGGACCTAAACTTGGAGACGACCACAGAAAAGGAGCGCTCAGAGAGATAAGAGGAGAACCACTCCAGAACAGTTCCTGATAGTCCTACCCAGTCTCAGCCTCTCCAGTAGCAGGTGATGGTCAACAGTGTCAAAGGCTGCAGTCAGGTCCAGCAGGACCAGAACAGAACAGTCCCCTGCATCACTGTGAGTCAGAAGGTCATTAGAGACCCTAAGAAGAGCTGTTTCAGTAGAATGAGCTCTACGAAAACCTGACTGGAAGCTATCAAAGATGTTCTGTTCATCAAGAGCAGCTGTGAGTTGTTTAGCCACAACCTTTTCCAAGATCTTGGAGATGAACGGAAGTTTAGAGATGGGTCTGAAGCTGCTATGGAGAAAGGGGTCGAGACTCGGTTCTCTAAGAAGCGGGTGGATTACAGCATTCTTAAAGTAAGAAGGGACCTGACCGGAAACCAGTTCTGGCGGGCGCACGCCCCCCCTTACATCCAAGCAGATGCGGTCATAAAGAGGCTTGCTCATGAGTGTAATATCTGAACCCGTGTCTAACAATGCGTTGCAGGAACACACCTGTTGCACAATGACTTTTACTGTGGGCTTACCACCCTCCCCCATGGCAGGAGAGGTCCCAGCAGTATTTCGTCAAGTTCGGCATCAGGGGAATCTGGGCTATTGTCCGTGGGGGTGTCACTGATCATCAATGTGGATGGAGCGAATTGCGGTTTCCTGTAAGTCAGAGCCGTTTAAAACATCAGATTGCAGCATTCTCGTTTTATCTGGCGGCAGATCGGCCGAACACGGGGTTGCGGCCCCTCCCACCTGAAAATCATTTACAAAATCTTGGATTCTTGTGACATCCTGTTGCAGATTGCAAAGCTGGGATTTCATGCTTCTCATCTCAGCCAACTGCGTTTTGGAATCGTTTCTCATCTGTAGTATGAGGGATGTTAGTTGTTTAATTTCCTCTGAGCTCATTTTAATCAATGTTACTGGTCCTTTGATTTGTTAGTAAATTAATGGAAGCTGAACAAAAAACAGTTCTTACCCGCTGATTATAAATGAACTTCTTATATGAGAAATTTTGTGTATTGAATGAACATTCAGTCAAAACCGTTGTTGGGGTAATTAGGAGCGAGTAATTAGTAATTAATTAATTACTTTTGGATTCTTCAATAAATTCTGTAAATATGGGAATATTTACCGAGTTATTAATTGATTAAGATACTCTTTAGGAATCTTCGGGGCACCATCCCTTTAATTAGAAAGGGAAATGAATCCAAAACTCTTATCAGTCTATCAAGAAGATGTGAATCCTAGGAGCAGAAATTTCAACCAACACAAAGTCTTGAGGCAAAATCTGAATTTTATAACATTTAATTAAACAAGGAGATTAATAATGCAAAACAATTTGATATAATTGGAGATGTGTGTGTGTGTGTGTGTAATGGAGGATGTCCCCACAAACACTAAAAACACGTATGAGTGTGTGTGTGTGAATGATTGCTTCGTCCTCCCAGAGCACTAAAACATGTACGTATGTGTGTGTGTGTGTGAGATGGAGGATGTATGAATGGGGCTTTGTTTTCCCAGGTGTGTGGGGAGTGTGTGTGTCTGATAAGGCTGGAGGATGTGTGTGTGATTTTTCTTCTCTCTCAGATGCAGGCAAAGGAATTAGACTTAGTGACTTAAAAATCACAATAAAACTTAACTTTAACACTTAAAAAGTTGACAAAACACTTCAGAAAGATTGAAAAACAACAAAGGTCACTAATTATTTAATCTAAACAGAGTCGGTAGCCTGGCCACAGCTTACCGACAGTAACCCAGATTAAATAAACAATAAACAAAAGATCTTACTTCACGGTATATATATCTATAACGTGTTTGATTACGGAAGATAGGGAAAACAGTCTGATAATTCGAAGCAAGTCACGCGGTCGACTGCTTATCTTGGTCTAGAAGAGACGAGAAAAGGTAAAAGTTTAAATGAAATAAAACTTGCAGGAGCAAAATCCTCTCTGAGCGAAGGCAAGGCGTCCCTTGTGAAGTTCGCTGGTCAGATGTGATTTACGCTTCTCCTCCCACGAGTGTCTCTCCACGGGCTGGACACAGAGAGAGCAAAGTTTCTTTTTGTTGTGAGTTTGATAACTTACAACGTCTCCGTGAGCTTGATGGTTTTGGAGTTGCTTTTCCAGCGGCTCAGTGTTCGCACTCTTCAGCCTCCAGGCCTCGTGCGTGCTTGAGTTGGATGGAGCTGGAGCAAGCAGCGTGTCCTTTACACCAGTGCAACTGGTACACAAGAACAGTTAAGTTTCGTTTTTCGTTGAAACTTATAGTTTTTGAGCTGGTTGTTGTGGTGACGTCATAACATTGTTTCCCTATGCAAAGCATCATGGGAAATGAAGTGTCTTTTGGCGCTGATGTTTAATATCTGCTTTTCAAAGCAAATTTAGAACAGTCTTTTGGAGAAAATTACTGCAGCAATTTCTCATGAGGGCATACCCTCAACACCGTTAAGTAATGACACAAATATCACTCTCTACTGACCTTACCAAAGATGGCTGGTCGAAGCTATGAGTTGACCACACTCAAAATGGCTGTGAAGCTGTGGTCTGACCACTCTCAAGATGGCGGTTTGATGCGCATGTGCCGTCCGTCACCTGGAGGTTAGCACAGTTGTAGCCGAGTCCGTGTCTCTCACCGAAATGTTTAAAAAAACGCGCTAAATTTACTCGACCAAATCGAATTTATTTGTCCCTTTGTGGGTAGCGGATTTAGAAGACAGAAGCTGTGTCGAACGATTTGCGGCCACGGTTTGCAAAGTCCGTTGTTGCCGAAACCGAAAGCTAAGCTGTACCGGTCTGTCGTGGTGAACAGAGAGCTGAGTCAGAAGGCGAAGATCTCGATTTACCGGACGATCTACGTTCCTGCCCTCACCTATGGTCATGAGCTTTGGGTAGTGACCAAAAGAACGAGATCGTGGGTACAAGCGGCCGAAATGAGTTTTCTCCTAAGAGTGGCTGGGCTCTCCCTTAGAGATAGGGTGAGAAGCTCGGTCATTCGGGAGGACCCCGGAGTAGACCCGCTGCTCCTCCACATCGAGAGGCTAGGCTTAAAACATTTTTTATTTTATAGGGCCTATGGTTTGAAGAGGAATAAAAACCACACACTTCAATCTGCGAAAATGTAGTATTTATTCAAGCTTTCGGTCAACAGAGGTTCATCAGGAATTTTAAATGCTCATACAGAGAGTTCATATTAAAGGAAAAAAAACAGCTGATGTCCAACACCTGTGTCAATTCCACACAGCAAGGCATTATGGGGGTTGGAGTCCCTTTCACATAACATAGTGCCTTGACACAAGAAGTTAGCAAAATCTTATAAAAACACTTCCAAATCATCTATCAAGAGAAAGAGATTAAAATGTTGCAGGCATCAAGCTGGAAAAGCCATAATAGAGCAAGGCAATAAAGTTACATTAAAAGTCACCATATATATTATATTATATTTAGAGAAATACAGACATTTCAAAGTCCTCATTCAGTCCCAGTGGTTGGAGCATATTAAGAGTGTAGATCCAGAACAGTTCCCTTTGACAATGTTTTTTTTAATCTATGTTACCTTCTCTGTGTAAAGAGATAGGTTCAATCCCCTAGAATCTAAGTGAAGATACAGGATGTGAACAATCATGGAAATGACGTGCTACTGGATAGTTCAAATCCTTACGTCTGAGCTCTTATGTTCATTGATTCTTTGTTTAAGTGGTCTAGTTGTTTTACCAATACATACTTTATCAAAGGGTCATTTCCACAAATAAATTACATTTTTTGAATTACACGTAATAATGCCCTTTACAAAAAATCTTTTTCCTGTTCTAGGATGTCGAAATTCAGGAGTTTTCACAGTATTGTGACACTGAGCAAAGTTTCCACAGGGGTAATTTCCAAACCGCAGAGGAGCAAGAGTTAACTGTTTTGGTGGATGCAGGCTGTTAGCTTTCACAACTTTATTTATATTTGGACCACTCATTTAAACAAATAAAGGTGGATGTTGAAAAACGCCTTTTAGGGATGGGTCTACGACCAGAATGTGCCAATGTTTTAAAATGGTTTGCTTTATTATGTAAGCCTGGGGAGTAAAGGTAGTTATACATGTAACAGAGTGTTGTTTTTCTTTATTTGTACTTTTTTTTTTAAAGTTCAGGTTTAGGTTTGGACAATGCAGCAACATATGCCTCCTCATTGCACTGATTAGAGTAACCTCTATCTAGAAAGCGTTGTTTCATTTCTACACTCTTCTCATTATAATTTTCATCAGAGTGGCAGACGCCTTGGTCTGAATAATTGACTTTTAGGAAGACCATATTTGAAAGAGCCTGGATGAGAACTAGAAGCAAGCAAGAGTGTATTACGGTCAGTTGTTTTCCAATATGATGTAAATAGACGGCCGTTGTTTATTTCGACCCACATATAAAGGAAAGGGACACGTACAAGATCAGAATGCAGGGGAAATATTAAATCCAGATTACAGCCATTTAGGAAAGACACAAAATTGTTAACTTCGTCATTAATCCCTTGAAAAAGACAAAATATATCATCCAAATATCTAAACCATTTAAGAATTTTATGGTGGAATAAATTTATTAGTGGATTGAAGACAAAAGTCTCTAAAAAAACCCATACATAGGTTGGGATAGTCTGGGGCAAAGGTGGAACCCATAGATGTTCCCTTTAATTGTAAGTAAAAGTCCCCAATGAAGGAGAAGATGTTGAATCTCAATACCATTGATGCCATTTGAATGATAATTCTTTGCAAGGTGAGTCTGTATGGTTCAGTAGGTAGAAACCTAGAGCATCTAGGCCTCTGTCCTGGGAAATATTGGTATAGAGGCTTTCTACATCAAGGGTGACCAATGCAGTATATTTTTGAATATACTGAATTTCTGAGATTTTATTGATAAAATCTGTAAAATATTTAATATAAGATGGAAGATTTTGTACATATGGTTTAATGAAATGATCAACAAAATCTGTTAGGGGTTGTAGAAGAGAATATTACTGGCTACAATAGGTCTACCCTTAGGATTAACTAAACTTTTATGGATTTTAAGTAACATGTAGAAAACTGGATCATTCAGTTGGCAATAAGCTTCTTTTTTGTAGTCATCCATATTCTGTATGACAATTGCACCCCCTTTTTCTGCAGGTTTAAAAAAAGGGAAGATCAAAGTGTAACAAAATGCAGTCCAATCACACAACTAAAAGATCCTGTAATACCTGCTCCACCAGCACACCTTTTCGTCTTCCATCACCATAATCTTCCCCGTCACAATTCTGTCTGCCCCCTCAAATATGCCAGCCTAGAACCGGCCCTGCTCTCTACATACATTTATGTTTATAATGTAGGAAATGAAGAAAACTATTTTCTCCTTCACTGGACTTTAGATTTTAGAATTGTAAACTGTTCAGGAGGTTGTACGTCCCTCAGTCCACAGTATCTACAGTATGTTGGCCTCACAGGAGCCGGGCTTCAGGATCTGTAAAGTTACAATATGTTTAACAGCTTTTCTGAACCAGGGATAAAACATGGCATAGATCAGAGGGTTTAGACAGGAGTTAAGATAAATGAGAAGGAATAAGAATGATACAAATGTTGTAGTTGTAAAACTATCTATAAAATAAAAGCAGCAGTAATATGGACAGAAACACATCAGATACACAACAACAAGAACACCCAGTGTTCTGGCTGCTTTTAGCTCTGATTTCTTTGTTTGTTGTTGCACTGAAAGCTGAAGGGTGACACTTCTATTGTGAGAGTACATGGCACGAGCCTGAGTCACAGCCACCACAAATACTCTCATATACAGAACTATGATGACTGTAACTGGAAATAAAAAGGATATAAACAGATCAAAAGTTCCTACAAAATAATCTGCAGATACTGTACATTCTCCAATGCAGGAATTACTCCTGCCTGGCTGAATCAGCTCATCTTTTAAGTAGAACATTTCATAGAAAGCAGCACAGCTCCAACAGAGACAAACACAGTGTTTCATTCTTGGTAAGGTTATTCTGGTGGGATAATGCAGAGGGTAACAAATAGCCACATAGCGATCAGCTGATATGAGAACAATGGTTCCAATTGAAGCACTGAGAGAAACAGAGGCAACATAATAGTAAAATAAACATGTGATATTACCGAGAATCCAGCATTTTGTCTTTCTAAAGATTTCAAATGGAATGATTAAAAAGCCAATAAGGAAATCTGACACAGCCAGAGAGAGGATGAGGATGTTAGAAGGTTTCTGGAGCTTCCTACAAGGAAACAAAGTCAGTCAGTGAGGTTAAAATAACTTATGCAGCATAGAAACACATTCTAATCAGAAAAACAATATTGATAAATGTGATGTTTTTCTTTTTAATACCTGCCTGAAATAGGAGACTGAGATTATGATGAGGAGGTTTAGAACTGCTGTGATCAGAGAGAAGAAGGACAACACGATGTTCAGGAGGACAGCTTCAGACCAGTGAGGTGTTGGCCTCCTGCAGGACCTGTTGAGTTGTGGAAAACAGAACTCAGCTCCAATCTGAATCTCCATCATCAGATGGATACTGCTTTCTGAGCAGAACCCTGTCACACAGATCATTTATACTTTTCCTTCATTACACATTTCCAATTTCATCTGAGCACTAACATTACTCTTCCCTTGTGGCCAAAAACATCAAGGCAACAAAAACAGGCTAACATCATATGATGTTAGACAGACGTCTCCATGGACTAGTAGAGGCCTGTCCGTAGGGGGTTTTAGGTCACCATCCTCACTTACTTGAAACAACAAAAAAGTTAAAACCTCAAAAGTTATTTATATATTTTAGGGATCTCCTTTTTTGGCATGTGAGCTACTTTTACACAATGAAAGTATGATTAGTTCACATACATACTTTTCATGTGTGAATAAGCTTATTTTAATAATGCTATTTTACTATATTAACATGCATTGCATTCACAAGTTGATTTCTCTTTATCATCAATGTTATTAAAACATGTTTTAAAAATAATTAAAAAGTTGAAGGAAAATAGTGACATTCTGAAAATTAAACAACACATATTTTATATCACACTCCTGAGCCTTCCTGGTAAGGTCTATTCAGGGGTTCTGGAGAGGAGGGTCCATCGCATTGTTGAACCTAAGATTCAGGTGGAGCAATGTGGTTTTCGTCCTGGCCGTGGAACACTGGACCAGCTCTATACCCTTAGGGGATCCTGGAGGGTGCGTGGGATTTTGCCCAACCAGTCTACATGTGTTTTGTGGATTTGGAGAAGGCGTTTGACCGCATCTCTCGGGGTGCCCTGTGGGGTGTACTCTGGGAATAAGGGGTACCAGGCCCTCTGATGCGAGCTGTTAGGTCCCTGTATGACCGGTGTCAGAGCTTGGTCCGCATTGCCGGCAGTAAGTCGAGCTCATTCCCAGTGAGGGTTGGACTCTGCCAAGGCTGCCCTTTGTCACCAATTTTGTTCATAACCTTTATGGACAGGATTTGTAGGCACAGCCAAGGTGTGGAGGGCAGTGATGCGGGCATTGTACCGGTCTCTCGTGGTGAAGAGAGCTGAGTCATAAGGCGTAGATCTCGATTTACCGGACGATCTACATTTCTGCCCTCAACTATGGTCATGAACTTTGGGTAGTGACCGTAAGATCGAGATCGCGGATACAAGCGGCCGAAATGAGTTTTCTCCGAATAGTGGCTGGGCTCTCCCTTAGAGATAAAGTGATAAGCTCGATCATTCGGGAGGTGCTCGGAGTAGACACTAGTGATGTGTCGGCCGCGAATGAACCTGCTCTAAGAGCCTGCTCTTTGAATTGAACAACGGGAGCCGGCTCATTATTGAGAGCCGTCCCCTCCCCTCCCCTCCCCCTCCCCTCTTGCTTTGGTGAAAGATACAGGCGATTGGTCAACAAGTGTAACTGTGTGTCCAGACTGTCCACACTTAGAGCAGTAGGGGCGGGGAAGAGGGACGATCAGACTCAGACACACAGCAGAGCACATGCTGGTGGAGGGAGACGAGAGGGAATGAGGAGGAGGAAAAGGGCGAGGATGAGAGAGGAGAGTGCGACGAAGACGGTGAGAAAATGAGTGCCAGCAGGCGGAAAGTGAAGATTTCTTAAAGTGTTCAATTATTAAATCCATAGAAGTGATAAAAATTTGATATATTGCATTTTTTTACATTAGTAAATCATTTTACATATAGTGTTTCATTATTTTGGTTATAAATGTACTCTACGCAACAGAAAATCTGAGGAGCCACTTGGGACCCGAAGAGCCGTCTCGTTTTGGTGAGCTGAGCCAAAAGAACCGGCTCTCTAAAAAGAGCCGGAATTCCCATTAGTAGTAGAAACGCTGTTCCTCCACTTCGAGAGGAGCCAGTTTAGGTGGCTCGGGCATCTGGTCAGGATGCCTACTGGACACATCCCTGGTGAGGTTTTCCGGGCATGTCCAACCAGGAGGAGACCTAAAGGTAGAGCCAGGACAGGGTGGAGGGACTATGTCTCTCACCTGGCCAGGGAACGCCTTGGGTTTTCTCTGGAGGAGCTGGCCCAAGTGGCTGGGGAGAGGGAAGTCTGGGTCTCTTGCCTTAGGCTACTGCCCCGCGACCCAACTCTGGATAAGTGAATGAAAATGGTTGGATGGAACATATTTTTTAACTGGTCAGATAATGAAACACAAATCTATGTCGTGCGAATATTTTAAATGGATCAGTAACATAACTTTTTGAGAACACGGGAACAGCTAACCTGTTCTTGCTCAGTCTCTGATGCTGTGCTCTGCCCATAGCCTCAGCAGCAATGTCAGCTTTTCATAGTATTCAGCTATTTTATCATAAATGAACAAATACTTCCAAAACCTATCAAATGTCTTGGTAACACTTTACAATAATGATCCCAAAATTGGCTCACCTAATGAGGAACTAATGATAAATGAATCAGGATTTAATGGTTGCCTAAGCTTCACAACCACTCCACGGTGGACTTATTAGCTGATTCTTGAATGATTACATAATGGTTGGTTGTACGAGTTGGCAGATGGCTGAAGGATCAGAGGAGACATTTGTTACCAAAAAACAGCACTTTATTCTCCACTCAACTCCTAACTACTGAATCACCATGACAACTCAGTAATTTACATCATAGGTACACTTCAACTGTGAGAGACAGAATGTGAAAAAAATCCATGAATTCACATGGCAGGATTTTAAAAGAATTTATTTGTAAATCAGGGTGGAAAATAAGTATTTGGTCACTTCAAACAAGGAAAATCTCTGGCTCTCACAGACCTGTATCGTCTTCTTTAAGAAGCTTTTCTGTCCTCCACTCGTTACCTTTATTAATGGCCCCTGTTTGAACTCATTATCTGTATAAAAGACACCTGTCCACAGCCTCAAACAGTCAGACTCCAAACTCCACTATGGCCAAGACCAAAGAGCTTTCGAAGGACACCAGGAAAAGAATTGTAGACCTGCACCAGACTAGGAAGAGTGAATCTACAATAGGCAAGCAGCTTGGTGTGAAAAAATGAACTGTGGGAGCAATTATCAGAAAATGGAAGACATACAAGACCACTGATAATCTCCCTCGATCTGGGGCTCCACGCAAGATCTCATCCCGTGGGGTCAAATTGATCATGAGAACGGTGAGCAAGAATCCCAGAACCACACGGGGGGACCTGGTGAATGACCTGCAGAGAGCTGGGACCACAGTAACAAAGGTCACCATCAGTAACACACTACAATGGCAGGGAATCAAATCCTGCAGTGCCAGACGTGTTCCGCTGCTGAAGCCAGTGCATGTCCAGGCCCGTCTGAAGTTTGCCAGAGAGCACATGGATGATACAGCAGAGGATTGGGAGAATGTCATGTGGTCAGATGAAACCAAAGTAGAACTTTTTGGTATAAACTCAACTCGTCGTGTTTGGAGGAAGAAGAATATTGAGTTGCATCTCAAGAACACCATACCTACTGTGAAGCATGGGGGTGGGAACATCATGCTTTGGGGCTGTTTTTCTGCTAAGGGGACAGGACGACTGATCCGTGTTAAGGAAAGAATGAATGGGGCCATGTATCGTGAGATTCTGAGCCAAAACCTCCTTCCATCAGTGAGAGCTTTGAAGATGAAACGTGGCTGGGTCTTCCAACATGACAATGATCCCAAACACACCGCCCGGGCAACAAAGGAGGGGCTCCGTAAGAAGCATTTGAAAGTCCTGGAGTGGCCTAGCCAGTCTCCAGACCTCAACCCCATAGAAAATCTATGGAGGGAGTTGAAAGTCCGTGTTGCTCGGCGATAGCCCCAAAACATCACTGCTCTCGAGAAGATCTGCATGGAGGAATGGGCCAAAATACCAGCTACTGTGTGTGCAAACCTGGTAAAGACCTATAGTAATCGTTTGACCTCTGTTATTGCCAACAAAGTTTATGTTACAAAGTATTGAGTTGAATTTTTGTTATTGACCAAATACTTATTTTCCACCCTGATTTACAAATAAATTCTTTAAAATATATGAATATTTGAACATTTTAAATGGATAAGTAACATAACTTTTTAAGAACACAGGAACAGCCAGCCTGTTCTTGTTCAGTCCCTGACGCTGTGCTCTGCCCATAGCCTCAGCAACAATGTCAGCTTTTCATAGTATTCAGCTATTTTATCATAAATGAACAAATACTTCCAAAACCTATCAAATGTCTTGGTAACACTTTACAATCATGATCCCAAAATTGGCTCACCTAAAGAGGAACTAATGATAAATGAATAAGGATTTGATGGTTGCCTAAGCTTCACAACCACTCCATGGTGGATTTATTGAATGATTATGCACCAAACTACAGTTCAGAATACCCACCATTTTTGGAGACTTTGGAAGGGGTTCTGGAAAGTGCTCCTTCCAGTGACTCCCTCGTTCGGCTGGGGGTCTTTAACGCTCACGTGGGCAACGACAGTAAGACCTAGAGAGGTGTGGTTGGGAGGAACGGCACAGCGAACTGAATTCAAGCTGTGTTTTGTTATTGGACTGGTGTTCATATGTGCTCTTGGCACCAGGATACCTTAGGCCGCAGCTCGATGATCGACTTTGTTGTTATTTTGTCTGATCTGAGGCCGCATGTCTTGGACACATGGGCCAAGAGAGGGGCGGAGCCAGTTTATGAAGAAGTTCTCAAAACCAAATGTATGTAAAGTTGCAAATTAGAACTTCCAGTTAACTCTATCAAAAGCCCTTTCTGCATCTAGAGATAATATACTAGTTTCTATGTTTCTACTGTAAGAGAAACCTATCA